CGGGGGGAAGCCCCAGCGCAGCAGTTGTAGCGTCCCGCAGAGGAGGACTAGAGATCCCAGGAGCTGCAACGGAAGGAGGGAGGTGTGCTGGGACGGGCCTCGAGACTACGCACGCGCCGCCCGCGGAACCACGCCTACTCCTGCGCCGGTCAGCTCAGGGCTGTTCCTCCCGTTCTCCGCCCCTCCTTCACCACGGATAAACAAGTGGCAGGAGGGTGTGGCGGGGGAAGCCCCAGCGCAGCAGTTGTAGCGTCCCGCAGAGGAGGACCAGAGATCCCAGGAGCTGCAACGGAAGGAGGGAGGTGTGCTGGGACGGGCCTCGAGACTACGCACGCGCCGCCCGCGGAACCACGCCTACTCCTGCGCCGGTCAGCTCAGGGCTGTTCCTCCCGTTCTCCGCCCCTCCTTCCCCGTGAGCTCCAGGGACCATGGCCGATCCTCGCGTGAGGCAGATCAAGATCAAGACTGGCGTAGTGAAGCGGTAAGGAGCCGCCCCCGGCGTCGGCCTGCGCGTGTTCCGCCTCACCTCCCCGGCGAGGCGTAGGCCTGATGCGGACGCGGGCATCCAGGCCTGGCGCGGGCGGCGGGACACGAGGGGCTAAGCCCCCCGAGCCCGTGGGCCTCCGCACTCCCCGGTCCTCCGCTGGCCTGGGACGCGGCTCCGCCCTCGGTGCCCGCGGGCCGAGAGGAGGAGGGCGGCGGCCTGCAGCGGGAGGACGCCCGGCCTCGGCCTGGGAGAACACGCTCCCGGCCCTAGCTCGTCTCACTCAGCGGTGCAGAGACGGAGTACATCCTGGCCTGGCCGCAGGTGGGCTGGAAGGCTGGTGCTCAAGTTTAGGGGCACGCGAGAGCTCGGGCCTCACCGAAAGAGACCGCGGCGGAGCCCTAGGACCCCACGTGCGGGCTTAGACCCCCAGACTCTGGACCTGGGGAGTGAACTTGGGCACCCTCAGTAAACTTCCCAGCCCCGCCCAGAGGCTTGCGGGATGCTGGTTCAGTCACTTCCACGAGTAGGCCAGTCTTGTAATTTGCTTTTAATTCCTGACTGCTAGGGTACATACTTAAGTGCTCTTGAGAACTTTATTGTTCAGACCCAATTTGATCAAACTGATGAGCATTCCAAGAGAAAAAAAGACACGGCCTTTCTGACAAAGCAGGTTACTTTGTAATGGAAATAGCTGATCCTAGCCACCTAAGCTTTTTTCCTGTTGACCCACCTTTCCGCAAATTATTGGTATTCCCATCCCAGGAGGGACAACCCAGTAAAGAAAATAAATTCACGTTTTGAGATACTGCTCCTGAACTTTAGTACATCACAGTATACTTCTGAACGCTTTTATTACAAAGGCAGTAAGGACATAGTGTAACAGGGAAATGCACAACCTTTTCTGAATTGTGACCTCATTCTGCCCACTAATTTTATGTATTCTGGAATAGATCACATTGCGCAGTGTCTCTTTTACCTTATTTGTAAGGTAGAGTAAGTATCCCCTTCATTCAGTAACTGCAAGAAATGCCTGCTGTGCTCTTTGATATAGAGTGTGACAACTTGTAGTTGGTGTTGCTCTATAAACGTTTTATAGATCAGGGGCAGGTGTAATGAAGTTAAAAAACCAGACTTGTCTAAGGTCACACTGCAGGTTAGTTGCAGAACAAGCAAATGAAACAAGGTTTCTGATTACAACTTTCTACTTTGATCTGTGATGCTGTAGTAAGGTGTTAGAAATTGCAGTAACAGGGGAGCATGAGATCTGTAACTAAAAATATAAGTAATCTACACTATCCCTCATCCTCATCTGTAACTAAAAATATAAGTAATCTACACTATCCCTCATCCCACAGTTCTGTTCTCTTTTTGCCAGACTTAGCTTTGGTTATGCCATTTTCATCACCATGTTGTCTATTTGACAGAAAAGAACCAGGTTGTTAAACAGAATGCTTTAAAATAGAAATAATGAGAAATGACTTGTAATGAGGTTTTTCCATTAATTACCTGTACATCATTGAGATTTCTTATCCTCTTGGTTTGTATTCTATCATATAAATCTATTCAGTTCAGTTATATCTTTGCAATACATATTCTAGAAAACTCATTTAAGTAATTATGCGCTAAGTTTTGAGGCTTTCAGAAATTCTCAGATGCTGTTTTCAGTCTAACAGGACAATCTCAAACTTTATTTTTTATTTTTATTTTTATTTTTTTTGGGAGACAGGGTTTCTGTAGACCAGGCTTTCCTCAATCTCACAGAGATCCCCCTGCCCTTGCCTCCCAAGTGCTGGGGCTAAAGGCGTGTGTCACCACACCCAACTTCAAACTTTAATTTTTATATAGTTTGTGCTTCAGTATTTATAATTTTTTGTGAAACCCTTTTTTATAAATTACCATAATTGCAGATTATTTGTATAAATTGATGGAAATGTGTATCTGACGTTGGTTTCATGACTTCCAGTGATGTTTCCGTATAAGGCTTTCTCTTACTGTAAAATGGGCATATGTGTCTTTAAACCTAAAATTTCTGTTTCACTTATTGATTGTTCATATTTTGCCTTGCTATATGACTGTCTAAATTCATAAATATTACTACTCTTATTTTTTCCTGAAAACTATTCTTCTGTGGCTCTATCTTCTGCCATGTTCTAAGGCAGAATTCCATATTTTTAAAAATATTTTATTATTTTTATTTTATGTGTATGAGTGTATTGCTTGCATGTATATGAGTGCACCCGTGTCATGCAATGCTGCGGAGGTCAGAAGAGGGCTTCGGATTCCCCTGGAACTGGAGTTAAGGATAGTTTGTAGCTGCTGTGTGGGTGCTGGGAATTGAACCTGGGTCCCCTGCAAGAGCAGTCAGTGCTCTTAACCCCTGAGCCATCTCTCCAGCCCCAGAATTCTGTATTTTATCTCACCCAAGAGGGGAAATAGGTGAGGCAGATAGGACAAAATATTAGTAACTGTTGGAAATGAATGATCATGGACTTTTATTATATCCTTCTATATGTGTTTACATTTTTATAATTAAAAAGGCTTAAAAGCAGTTTTTGACAGTCTCTACGGAGACTGAATCTGGCTTGGTTAAAAATAAGAGTGTTAGTCGGGCATGGTGGCACACGCCTGTAGTCCCAGCACTTGGGAGGCAGAGGCAGGCGGATCTCTGTGAGTTCAAGGCCAACCTGGTCTACATAGTGAGTTCCAGGACAGCTGGGGCTACAGGGAGACCCTGCTTCAAAAAGACCAAAAAAAAAAGTCTTAAAAGGTATGCTGTTTTTCCTTTCTCCATATTTGGTTTCAAAGACTTCTTAATCAATTTCATGATTCAGGAGTGTTCTTGCTTTTGTGAAAGGGATTCTGCTCATTAGTGGTTTATTTATTTTCTTTTGTCTATTTGAGGCAGGGTTTCCCTGTAGCCCCCAGCTGGTGGCCTGGAACTCACTATGTAGATCAGGCTAGCCTTGATCTTATAGAGATCCACCTGCCTCTGCCAGACGAGTTCTGCGATTAAAGGAATGCGCCACCATACCCAGCTTTGTTAGGATTTTTTTTGTTTGTTTTTTGACATTTATTTATTTACTCTGTGTGAGTGTATATGCTCGTGTACAACAGCACAGGTATAGAGGTCAGAGGACAATTTTTGGGAGTCCATTCTCTCCTTCCACCATATGGGACCTGGAGTCTAACTCAGGTTGTCGGACTTGGGGGGCAAGCTCCTTTATCGGTTGAGTCATCCTGCCAGCCGTAGGCATTTGTTTTTTAAAGAGTAGTCTCAAAACTAGCTTTTGTTTTTAACTCCCTCTTTCTAGTCAAATGTTCATTTCCTATAGTTCCATTTCTCTTCAGAAGTCACATGTTTTATTTGGAAGAAGATGTTTAAAGTCATCAGTCATGCCCCAGTTCCTTCAGTTTTTTTCTTTCAAAATTGAGAGAATTCCAAAAGCAGGATCACTCCTGAAACATGAAACTGATTTATATTCTAGGTGTTTGTCCTAGAGTTCATTTTGGTAGGTTATATAGTAGAGTTTAGTATATAATAAAATCTGCTCCGATACTTGATGGATTCAGAAGTTCTCAGTTGTGGATTTTAGGAAGAAATCTGGACAGAAATATGGTGTGTTAGGGAGTATGGAATCTGGAAGCAGTAGATGGGTGGTTAGCATCAGGGAGATAGAGTAGTAAGCACAAGGTGGCCAACTCGGCATGCTAGCAAAGTGACAAAGGCAGTCTAATGGGTGAACCCAACCTGCATTGGAAATTCAAGTAGAAACACATTTTAGGGGCAGTAGTTTAGGTGGAAACTAAGCAGGAGACTCACTGTGTCCTGATCCTAGAGAAACTTTGTCACTTTTTACAGTAACAAATCAGAGGATTTCATCTCTGAAAATGGGTTTCAGGGGTGTGGTTAAATCACTAGGAACAGAGTAGAGCCCACTTACTAAGAATGTTGGTTAGCAATGATGCTGACCTGGTGCTGAGTCTCTGATAGGGAGGGCTCTTTAAGAAGCCCCCCACCCCAGCCACAAGATTGATTGTACTATCCTTTTTTTCTCCCAGTGGATTGATCCTTCCTCCATCCCTCCCTCCCTCCTTCCCTTCCTTTCTTCCAAAACTAGAGATATGCACTATAGATATGGGTAATTAGGCTACATTTCTCTCTTCTTTGAGCAACAGACTTTGTTAACATGCGACTCATTGAGCATGTTACAGATTGAGCATCCCTAATTGGAAAATCTGAAATTCAGAATGCTCAGAAATCCAAAATTTTTGAGTGCTGACATGACATTAAACAAGTTTCAGATTTTGGAGCACTTTTGATTTTTGGATTGCAGATGTTCAACTGGTATAGTCTACACATTCCAAAATCTGGAAAACTCTGAAATATGAAACACTCCTGGTCCCAAGCATTTTGGACAAGTGATAATCAGACAATATTGTGGGTATTGTTGGTAGGTTTGATCCTACTGGCTCTTCAAGATTTGGTCGTATGTTTCTTGGCCATTATTATGAGTTACTGGTGTCTGTGATGGATCACAGCTCATTTGGTAGTCCCAGCAGGGAATTACCAGGTAATGGCCAGATTTTCTACCCAGTGTAGATGTGTAAAATTACTATCATCTGTCTGTCTTTCTGTCCATTGTTATCTAAGCAACATTAGTTGTCCTGATTTGCTTGGGAATGTGGAACAGTCCCTGTTAAAGGTGGAGGACTCTCAAGTAAACCAGTATGACTGACTGGTCCTTTTCTCTGTACTAAGCTGTTACAGCTCTGTTTTCTGTATGTTGTGATTTCTTTGGAGGCTATGTATTGATGGTACGCCTGTGTATACTATCAGCCTGTGTACACTGAGCCTTACTTAATTTAAAAGTAAATACATAGTAAGCTTGTTGCTAGATACATGATATCAAGAAATTCTACAAGGAAAAAAGATTTAATCTGTTTCATTTAAAAGATTACATACGCCTTTAAAGCCAGCTTGTTTTCAGTAAAGCATGCTAAACTAGCCCACTGGTGAGTGAATTAATTGATTAAAAACACTTTCTTAAATACATCTTTTTATAACCATTTTAGATTGGTAATAGCTTAAAATCTGATGTGAACAAAGAATGTTAAGGTATTAGAAATAGCACTGACATTGGCCCATAGTTTTCCTCTGATTAAATGAAAGTGACACCAGTAGATTAGAATGAGACTAGGACAATTCACACTGCAATTGTGTTAGTTTAACTTTAACAATCTTTTAACACTCTTGTTTAAATGTGGCTGACATACCATAATTGCAAATCTACAAGCCTTGATTATAGAATTTTACATCATGAACCTGTGGGGAAATTGTATTGATTTTTTTTTTTTTTTTTTTTTTTTTTTGTGTGTATTGCCTGCATGTATGCAAGTGCACCTGAGCCATGCAATGCTCACAGTCTGGTATACAAGTGTGTATGTTTTATGTACTTATACATACACATACACTCTATTGTGTAGCAGAAATTGAAAACAAAATATAAGTGAAATCTCTTATAGTTTAGTATATGTTGTATTGGCATAAAAAATAAAAAGTATAAATGATACATAGTCATAAAGGTTTTTTCCCCCTAAGTTTTAGCTTCTAGGCTGTCCTGCATTTAAAGCAATGATGGATAGAAGGATGGTGGATAGTATATGGGAAAGGTTAAGGACATGACTTTGTAAATTTCTATAAACTTTGCCAGCTTTGTCTTTTCCTTTTTGCTCTTCTGTACCATACCCCTTTGGTTTCAGGTAAAGTATGTTCAGCCAGAATGTCAAACATTTTATTTTATCTATTTTTATTTTATTTTGTTTTGTTTTGTTTTATTTTATGTTTGAGTGTATTGCCTGCATGTAGGTAGGTGCACCTATGTCATGTAATGCCCATGGAGGCCAGAAGAGGGCATCAGTTCCCCCGGAATTGGAGTTACAGATTGTTGTTAGCCACTGTGTGGGTGCTGGGAATTGAACCCAGGTTCTCTACAAGAGCAGACAGTGCTTTTAACCACTGAGTCATCTCTCCAGCCCCCCACAAACATCTTACTTTAAAATTTAGCTATTTCACTTTTGGAATTTCTGTGGAATTTCTGTAATGTTTTCAGTTCTCTGAAGTGGTAGTTAGAGGTTAGTGCCAAAGTGGAATGTAGGTGGTCTGCTCTTCATCCCCATCTGCCAACTACTTGGCAAGCAGTGACTCACAGGAGCTATATAACCTGCAGCCATATGTCTCTTCAAGCTGGAAAGGGAGAAAGCTAAGGCCACTTGTGATCATGGTTTCTCAACACTGAGTATATTCTGAAAATTGGATTTGGAAATGAAGGATCTCTGCTGTGTGTGTAGTGGGCAGATGGATGCGTATGCACAAGGTACATGTGTGTATAGATATTGTACATGTTGCTGAAAACTTTGAAAGTCTATACTGAAACTGCATAATTTTGTTGCTACAGTCCGTCTGTATTTCTAGAATATAGATGCTTAGAAGTATGGTCTGTCTATTCCAGTTTGTCATTTCCAATAATACATTTATAGGACATCATAATGTCCTATTATGAGCCTAAAGAGAACTAAATTTTTTCTTGATAATTTGTCATAGGTCTGACATCCATAGATCACTGATTTAGGAGCCTCTCTCAGAATTTATATCTTACTGTCTTTGATGTATCGGGTATGGTGTTAAAACAATACTCAAGGAAAGTTCTTTGCATGAACAAATTGAATGAGTGAGACTTCCTCTATAATGCTTTTGAACTTGATCTAAATAATTGAAACTCACTGGAACAACTATATTGTAGCGTAATAGTTACTAGTTACTATAGTTATTCTTGCATTGGGAATTAAACAGCTGGAACCCAGGTTCCACTCTCTGCATATCACATATATGACCCTAGGAAAATTACTTAGCTTTTGAAAGCTCCATTTTTCTTAACTGTAGTACCTTTCTCATGTTGTTATTAGGAAAACCAAACAAGGTAACCATATAAAACACTCAGTCCAAGTGCCTGATATGTAGCAGATGCTCAGTGTATGTCTTAGTGTCTGCTACTGTAATGAGGTCTGAGATGGAGTAATTTATAAGTAAAAGGAATTTGTTTTTTACAGTTTTGGAGGCTGATGCCAAGATGGTGCTTCAAGTGCTGAGTCTTCATACAGCAGAAGTCAAGGACAGGCCCAGTGCCATGTGAAGCCTCTTTATAAGATCCCATTCAGAGGGAGGAGCCCTCCTGGGCTGATCAACTCTTAAAGGCTCCTTGGTTTTGCTTCAACATTACAACTTTGTCTAGTTTTCATTAAAAAACAAACCAAACTTACATTATTTTGATTGTCTTTCTAAACAAGCATCCTTAAAGACCAAGAACTAAAGGGGTTATGGAGGATGCAGTCCTGTAGTCATGGTCTTGGCCATCTTCCTGTGTAAATAGTGAATTTCTTGTTTAAAATTTTGGAACAAACTTTCTCCATGTAACTCTGATTGTGGCTGGCTGACTTCCTTTAGCATTGAGATATCTGACCTTGGAAGGTGGTTTGCATTACTGATAAAAGGGTGAAGAGACCAGAAGAAACTGATGCTGTTGAACTGCTGGATCAGCCAACCTTGAAGCCGGGTCATTCCCTGGATTTTAGTTACAAAGCCAAACAAGAACACTACCACCACAAAACAAAAACCCTGAAGTATTTGAATTCCTTGAATTGAAATTATGTCCTTGCAGTAGAGTACTAGTTGATAGAAATAATCTAATCCCGGATTTATGTAGATTTATGTATGATATCAGGAATGACTTTCTTTACTGAACTGGCTAGGGATTTACTTCTTCCCTCTATCTCCTTATCTGTCTTTTCTGGAGAATTCTGCCTTTGTTCAAGTCCTTTTATTAGCTCCTAGGAGGAAGAAGACTTACCACTTCATTGACAAGGATTTACAATAATTTAGGAGGCTTTCTTGATATCTAAGATGGAATTCAGACTTTTTTCTTATAATAAAAGCATAATCAAATAAGGTAGACAAACTGTTCTGTGAACAGAGTTCATCGGTTACATTGAATTATATTGTATCAGGTTAAGTAGGTCTTTGTGGGACTGTTTATTAAGCTTAACATCAAGTATAATTTTTTTTCTATGAAAAATGCCTAGTGAAATTTCTACACCCCCCACCCCCAACCCTCACATTTATTTGTTTTTGTTTTTTGTTTGTTTGAGGCAGTCTTACTTTGTAGCTCGGGTTGGCCTTGATTCTCCTGCCTTAACTTCCTGAGTGCTGAGGTTAAAATTGAGCCCTTATTGGAGAATGATTGAACTATATTGTATGATAGCTTGTATCATGTCTAACTTTCGTCTTTTGATGTGATTTTTGTTAATCATTAATGAGCTTCTTAAAATTCTTGCTTTTGATAGCTTCTGCTTATATCTATCACTGTTCCTTTTGTTAGGGGAAACACAGACTTTTCATGTATTCCTAGGTAGTGATATGAGAATGTCAGAAGTCTGCTCTCTGATTACCGTTTACTTGGACTAGACTCTGAGCTACCGTAATATTGTACACTCAGTCTCTACTAGGATGTAAGTTCTATGAAGCCATGTATACACATCACTAGAGGTGTGACACACACAAAACGTTCTCAGAAATATCCTGAGTGCATTACCTTCTAATATTTCAAGTTCCCTGAAAACTGAAACAGTGTCTCTTGTCTCTTTAGTTCCCCGAGAGGTTATCTAATCCTAAGTAAACCCTAAATACGTGTATATGCAAGCACCACCAAATGGACTCAGTAGATAAAAAAACTGAGGTGTGTGGGGAAACATGGGAAGAGTTATAGGGGGAAGAGGGAGGGGTAGAAATGAGTAGATATAGTACTCATGTATGAAATTCTCACTTTTTTTTTTTTTACAAAAATAAAAATAGCCAGTTGTGATGGTACACACCTTTAGTTCTAGTACTTAGGAAGCAGAGGCAGGTGGATCCCAGTGAAATCAGGGCAGTGTGGTCTACATAGTGAGTTCCAGGCCAGCTGGGGCTTCAGGCAGACCCTGTCTCAAAAAAAAGAAGAAGAAGGAGAAGGAGAAGGAGAAGGAGAAGAAAATAATGATTTAACATATTTTAAAATACTTAGCCAATATTCCAAATCTATAAAAAGTTATTCAGTGAAGCAGGGCTGCTCCACCTCCAAGTAGCCACCCAATTTCCCTCCTGGGACCACTAGCATCATTACTGATTGTGTTTTCCTGAGTGTTGTGGGGATATCTGTGTGTGTGTGTCTTGGCAGAGATATTCTGTACATGCTCAGGTGTTTACATAAATGTTGACACCATATATTGATTTTGTTCTTTTTGTGCTTAGCATTTGGATCACAGTCTCATCCCTTTCTGTGCCTGCCAAATATTCTATATGGACAGATCTCATTTTTTAAAGCAAAAAATTTTGGTGGCCTTTAAAAAAAAATAATCTCAAGGGGCTAGAGAGATGGCTCAGCTGTTAAGAGCACTAGCCACACTTCTAGAGGACCCAGTACCCACATGGTAGCTAACAACAGTCTGTAACTCCAGTTCCAGGGGATCTGACATCCTCTTCTGACCTTGGAGGGCATTACACAACACAGGTGCATTTACATCTATGCAGACAAAACACTTATACACATGAAATTCTCAAAACTTTTTTAAGGAAAAAATAGCCAGGTGTGGTGGCTCATGCCTTTAGTCCTAGTATTTAGGAGGCAGAGGTAGGTGAATCTCAGTGAGATTCAGGCCAACGTGGTCTACATAGTGAGTTCCAGGCCAGCTAGGGCTACAGGGAGACCCTGTCTCTAAATAAAAATAACAACAGCCCTGTCTCTAAAGAGAAGAGAAGGGGAATGTGATGAGGAATAATTTAACATATCTTAAAATATTTAGCTATTAAATTAATTAAAAATCATTTCCAGTATTTTACTATTGGAAAATGTTTCATTGAATGTCCTTGTATGCATGTAGTGTAAGTATATGTATAGGATAAATTCATACAAGTGCAGTTGCTGGCTGAAAGGTATGTGCATTTTAAATATTGAGAGACATTGGTAAATTGCCATCTGAAGAATCTTATCAATTTGTAATTCTACTAATGACTTACTACGGAATTTTGTTGCCAAGCAGTTTAATGATGTTGTGGTCTGAAAAGAACAAAATTGTAAAATAGTATTAAAATACCCAAGTATGTTTAGTACTATTATTATGATTTTTAGAAAAATACTTCCTGGGTCATTAAAAATTGTAAGAACATCTTAGGCCTGAAGATATGCTAACTTATTTAAATTAATTTCACTTTTGAATATTATCACAAAAGGAGAAAAATCTTCCCCTTTGAAACTAAATTATTGTGCTGATGGAGACACCCCTTAGAGCTGCTTACACATTCTTCTGTTTCTCTGGACCTCTCCCTCTTTTCTTCCTTGCCCATATACAGAAGTATACAAAAAGATTGACAGTGATTTTGCTCAGGATTTCTCAGCTCATTACTGGTAGAGCTAGAGTTTGGGACATTCTGTCTTACCAGTCTTACATTCTGTCCACAGATGTGTATTCCTTAGAGTGACTTTTCTAAATCGTTGGTTGTATTTTTTTAAATCTTAAATTTTATTCGAAATTTAGACCTTAAAACTTGAGTTCAATAAACTTCAGCCCTAAGTTATTTTTCAGCTTTATCATTTGAAGTTCAAGGCTTTTTGTTTGTGTTTTTGTGGTACAGGAGATCAAGCACAAGGGTTTTATGCATTCCAGACAATCCTACCACTGAGCTATATCCTTAGTCCTGAAGTTCAATTTTTAAATAATAAATCGTACTATTCAAATTTTAACCATTGGTTATATTTAAAAATAAGTGTAATAAGCAGTTATACATTAGTGATCTTAATTGGGAGAATTTGCATATGAATTGCTTCAGTTTCTAGGGGATTTATTTTTATTCTTCCTTTTGAGGAAATTTTGAAGAATAATTTGATATTATTAAATATTATAAACTGGGCATGGTGGTGGCCTGTAGTCCCAACTTCTTGGAAGGCTAGGGCAAAAGGCTAGCATAGCCTAGGCAACTTAGTGAGACCCCCATCCCTCAAAGCAAACAACAGTGGTAAAAGCAGATTAGGCATATAGGTATGCTGAATAATTTAAATTACTTTACTTCTGAATATAATCCTGAGACGAGAAAATACTTCCAAGTACAATGTAAAATGCCCACATTTAAAATCTTAACAAATATACAAGGCCTGTTTCAAACACTGTTGCCAAAGTATCTATCTGGCCAGATAGAATAGCAGCAGCAGAAGAAACTTTAAAAGACCAATAGCACCTTGCCAGCACATTGCTAATAAGGACTAATAGGTACTTAAACTGATGAGAGTGATTCAGACAACAGCATATTAACCCCCTACTGTGCCCTGTTTTAAGCTGTTAATAGACATTAGCCTTTTAAAGACTAGCACTTTTATATTCATTTCCTAAGCTTTTGATACATTAGTGAACTGTTAGAACTACTTGCTATATCTAATTCTTATTGTTTATTACATTTTGTGTAATATGTTTGAAGAATGCTGTTGTAACAGATTCCATGTGGTCTTTAAGATATTTAGCATCATTGAAATTAGTTTTATTTTATGTTTCGATTATTCTGAGTAAAAATTTTAAAACTATTTTTTTTTAAATTTTATGTGTTTAAGTGTATTGCCTACATGTTTATAAGTGCACCCATGTTGTGCAGTGCCCACAGAGGTCAGAAGAGGGTGCCCAATTCCTTGGAACTGAAGTTACATCTGGTTATTAGCCATCATGTGGGTACTGAGAACTGAACCTGGGTCCTCTGCAAGAGCAGCCAGTGCTCTTAACTGCCGAGCCATCTCTCCAGCCCCAAGTAAAATTTTTTGTAGAGCTTATATGGGGGGAATAAAAGCAGATCCACTTTTGACTGACAAAGAGAATGCTAATGTGTTGGAAATGGTTTTTAGATATTTTTAAAAAACATTACTGTAGTAAGGCCATCATTTTTTCAGTTTGTTATAGTTTTATATAAAATTATAAATAATTGGTTTTCCTCCCAGAAATAAATCAAATATTTGAAAGTTGTGGCCCATGAGTATATGTGTGTATGAGGGTTTTTAAAATGTAATTATCTTTAAAATATTGTAAGTAACCTTTAGTGCCAGTTCTCTGTGAGTCAGAGTAATATCTTAAATTTTTGTTTTATGTTTTGATATGTTTTATGTTTTCATAATTCCAAAAATAATGCTAATTAGCTTATGTCAGCAAGATGACTCTGTGGGTAAAGGAAGTT